TTATTATTATTATTATTATTATTAGGGCTTCATGTTAATGTTAATTTAATGTTTATGCTAAAAAAAAGTGCATATAGCTGCTAATTGTATTTGTTGTTTGTTGATTTTCAAATATAAAACTTATTGAAATGTTTTCAGTGTGTGTATCAGTTCTTTTTGAACGTTTTCATCTAATTTGAACAAAACCGTGATAATATTGATAATCGTGATAACTTTGGTCACTATAATCGTGATATGAAATTTTCATACCGTTACATCCCTAGTCCACAGGCACGTTGATGGTGTAATCCAGAGTATCAAGGAAAAGACCAAAGAAGAAGCTGCAGCAGTGATGACGGCAAATAGAAAGCGACTTCTTTTGCAGCTTGAGTTATTAAATATCGAAGAACAGATAATTGATTCAAAACAAAAAACCGGGAGATGACAATGGAATGCGGATGAGGAAATGTGGTGCTATTGCACTTTTTTTTTTTTTACCTGAGAGGGAGGGGTTATAGTGGTTGTAGCAGAACAATCACAGCACTTGTGGTCCGTGTAGAATTGACACGTTGTTACATTTCTGGAGAGATGTACTTCAGCCTGCGCCGTAGACAACGCACAACCTACCATGTAGCTATGGCGTAGTTTCGATGTAGAAGTATATATCAGCCTTTATGGGTCCTGTGAAGACTTCTAACTCCGCATCATCTTCACATGAGGATTTCTCAGGATCCACCCATGATTTTGTGATCGGGGTTCTTATAAAGTGTGAAGATGATGATGATGTAAGTGAGCCAATAATCCCACTTTCAGAGGGAAAGTTTATAATCATTTGTCTTCTAGCAGGGTGTTTTGCATATTAAGAGTGTGCTGGCAGTTTGTGATTTGAAATAACCTAACAAATCAATCGGGCTAAAGCAGTTCCATTGACAACAATTTAAGTTCACACAATCTCGCTAATATGCTCCAGGTTCAATGAGTCAAGATTGATTTATTTGCATTCTTATTCTTAAGCAGCCCTATATGCCGACCAACATAACAGGAAAATAGTGTGTTGATAATGCAGGAGGACAATAGTAAACTGTCAATTTTTCAGTTAATGGTAGTTCATCATTGATTCAGTGATGTCACTGTCCAGCTCAGTTCAGTACTCTTCAAATAGTGTCTGTGCAATCAAGCTGACAATATTGCCAGAAATGAAGTGTCCCCAACCTCTGTTTTTTTTCTGAATTTAGCAGTTGGAATTTACTAGTCATCCAGTTTTTTACATGAACTATGCATTCCGTTAGTTTTGCAAACTGTTATGCACAAGTATTCCAGTGTGCTTAGATTACGCATCTGATAGGAATGACCATACACCAACATGCCAGTTTGTCCCTCCCACAACTGGACTTTAATACGTCCAGATACATCTTTAACATAGCCTGTCTGGGTCTCCACATTGGCGCCCCTCATCTCCACCATATCTGTAGCCACTTGAACATGGCATACTTTATCCTCGATCATGCCAACCTAAAGGAAAAAATACCAGAGAGGGAATGAGACGCTGCGCCCCCTAGGGGACACATTGGGGAATGCAGCCTGCATGAAGCCATGGCGAGGGGGCGCAGCATCTCTTTCCCTCTCGGGGAACCATGGTTACATGCGTAACCCGAGACGTTCTCTTTCTAGGGAACTCCACGCTGCGCCCCCTAGGGGGCACATTGGGGAACAAAATCCAACCGTGCCCTGCCGAGGCACATGCCTATCCACCTGGTGGGAGAGCACCAAGGAATAGCTGTTTGAGGGTGAGTAATTCATGGGCTAATTTTCATTTTTGGGTGAACTAACCCTTTAAAGGTTTGCATTGTTTGTGAAACTCATTCCACAGTGATTGATTCCGATGTAAATTTTAATCTGATTCTTAAGGTGGTTTCTGTCTGTGAAATTCCTTTTGCACTGATGACATTTAATAAAAAAATTAAAAAGTCTTCAGTGAATCCTCATGTGCTTTTTAAGTTTTTCTTTACATCTGACACTCTTTCCGCACTGATCACATGTGTAAGGTTTCTCTCCAGTGTGAATCATCATGTGACTCTTAAAAGTTTCTTTTCGTGTGAAGCCCTTCCCACACAGTTTGCAGGTGAAAGGACTCTCTCCAGTGTGAATTCTCATGTGGGCATTAAGGAGTTTTTTCTCTGTAAAACTCTTTCCACACTGATCACATACAAACGGCTTCTCTCCAGTGTGAATTCTCATGTGAGTCTTAAGACCTTTATTTAATGAGAAACTCTCCCCACACAGTTTGCAGGTGAAAGGCTTCTCTCCAGTGTGAATTCTAATGTGAATCTTAAGGTTTCCTTTAATCGTGAAACTCTTTCCACACTGAGGGCAGGTGTAAGGTTTTTCTCCAGTGTGAACGATCATGTGGGCATTAAGGTGATTTTTCCGTGTAAAACATTTTCCACACTGAGGGCATATTAACGGTTTCTTTTCAATGTGAATTTTCATGTGGACTTCAAGGCTTTCTTTTCCATTGCAAATGTGTCCACACTGTTGGCAGGTGAAAGAGCTCTCTCCAGTGTGAATTCTCATTTGGGAATTAAGGTTTGTAGGTTGTGTTTTTTGAGCTTTTTTTGGTGAGGAAGTCTTTTCAGTCTGAGAGCAACTGAAAGATTTTTCTTCAGTTTTGAAATCATGATGTTTCTCATTTTGATCTTTCCCTTTTTTTTCATTCAGTTCTTGACTCTCCTCTTTCAGTGCCATTCGATCTGTGGTGAAAAGAGAAAAATAACAACACCAGTTTGGCATAAAGCAACAGACATCAAAACATGACATGAAAAGCAACAAATCCAATGTATGCTAAATCTTATACCTACTAAACTACTGAAAGTGGTGTAACATTTAATCTCAGAACCTCTTGCCAATAATTTAACTCTTTGCTATTTTTAGGACACTTCCCAACTACAGCTGCAATCAAAATGATTCAACCTCCTTGACCTGCAAGCCATTTTACTGCGGAGAACAACATTTTATGAAAACAATTCAATTCAAATAATCAGTAAACTATTAGATAAAGTTCATTAATACATTTGAGTGATTCTGAGAATGTAAAGTTGATGAATCATGAATAAAATCTAATTGGCTCTAAACAATCAAAAGTCAAATTAAGTGCAGAAACCTTTATTCTTTATAACCTCCAATAAATAAATATTAAGGCAGTTTTCAAACCCCTTATCAAACACCCATGGTAGAGGACTGCAAGGCTTTGACCAAGGAGAACTGGTAATTTCTGTCATTTATGTCTAAAATATTAGAAAATCCTCTCAATATGTTCAGTTTTGTAGAATAGCATTTTTGTTCATTTGTTAAAGTTCAAGCCCCATCATAGCACAGTAATTGTGCTTATTGAAGTTCTATTCTAGTGCTATTAGATCTTTCAGCAGCATAGACCAAAAGGGACAAGAATTAGCACAGTTTAGTTCCCGTCTATCTGACCACTAACACTCAGTATTCACTCCTCTGCTTTTCTCTGTGTGTATGCTTCATTTGAAAGACGTTATCATTATAACTGTTATGATGATACTCAGCTCTATATTTCTCCACAACCTGACAAGACTGCAAACTCTCCAATTTTTCTTAAAAGAAAAAGTCTCTCTTAAAAATATTAAATACATATAAAACTTTTTCCTTGTATTAAATCTTGACAAGCCAAAAGAACAATGATCAAAAACCTCCAGCCATCTACATCTTGATGGAAGGATGTACCATTATGTTGGTTGTTGCATTCACAGAATTTTTTTATTTTTGGGGGGATAATCACAGCCTTTTTCCACCTAAGACCAAATTTAATAATACTTGACAAAATGAACACTAGAGTTGGTGTGGTTAATGTTAAAGGGGTCATATGATGCGATTTCAATTTTTCCTTTCTCTTTGGAGTGTTACAAGCTCTTGGTGCATAAAGAAGATCTGTAAAGTTGCAAAGACTAAAGTCTCAAATCCAAAGAGATATTCTTTATAAAAGTTAAGAGTCAGTCACGCCTACCTAAAACGGCTCGTTCTAACACGCCCCCACATATCTACATCACTATGTGGGAAGATTTGCATAACGCCGCCCAAATGTTCACGCAAAGAATGAAGGCGTAACTTTTATTCTTGCTGTAGTATTGTTGTTGCCGCCGCCATGTCGTGAAGGCGCTGTGTGATTCATTGTGAAAGCGAAACTACTTTGTTTGGCCTTCCAAAAGAGGACGATATCGGCTTCGTCATGCCTGGAGCTGATCCGTGCTGGTCGCTGAGCAAATACTACAACTTTGCGCTGTGAATCACCGGATCGGTTTTCACTGTGGACAAAGCGGAGTCCAGCCTGGGGTCGTCACATATGGTTGCCGCAAGCCCTCCGGACGCTCCTTCGTCGAATCCG